ATATATATATATATATATATATATGTAAAGTTGATCTGTTAGAAGAACAGACAAACATAAAGAGTGGAAAATAGGATGAAGGAATTACGAACAGTTGTTCTTTGTCAATATGTTAAACTGTCTTGACAATTTGCTGCATTTCTGTCAATAAAATGTTGCAAAACTCTCTGTTCATTTTCCTCAGGGCCTTCAAACGAGATCATTTAAAGGAACATCATATATTTGTGGATTTGTGCTTTTGCAGTAGTTCATGGGAATTAAGAGACTTTAGCACAACCTCCCATCAGCGATAAACTCCCGTCATTGATAAAGATGAACAATGATTTTGCTTTTCACCTGTACAAGAGGCTTGTAGAAATGCCTGATTATCAGTCCAAGAATATCTTCTTTTCTCACTTCAGTGTGTCCATGGCCCTTTCTGAGCTGTCTTTAGGAGCTGGTGGTGAAACCAAACAGCAGCTTCTCATTGGCATCGGCCATAACAGCTCGGTCTTCAGCACTGAAGAAATGCACCAGATGTTCCACAGTCTTCTGGAAGAAATCAGCCAGAGGACAGGGGTGGACATTGATGTCGGTAGTGCAATATATGTCAGCGACAAACTAAAGCCCCTTCCTGAGTTCTTGGAGAAGATGAAGGAGTTTCACCACTCTGATGGCTTCACTGTGGATTTCAGTGTCAAAGAAACACTGGATAAAATTAACATGTATGTGAAGGAAAAAACACATGGGAAAATAGACCATGCTGTTGATGATCTGGAATCTGACACTTTGATGTTTCTTCTCATTACATATATTTTCAAGGTAAACACACTCACACACACCTACTTTTGTAGATTTGGTAAGGCCATTGTCTCAGATCGCTTTAAAAATGTCACTCTTTCCTCCAAAGAAAAATGGGACAAGTCATTTGACCCAAGCAAGACCCGTCAAAGTACATTTTGTGTGGACGCTGAGACCACAGTTCCAGTACAAATGATGTACCAGTATGCATCCCTCAAAATTTATTATGATGCTGACCTCACTTCTAAAGTCCTCTGTCTAGACTACAATGACTCTTTCTCCATGTTTCTGGTTGTCCCACATATTGACATATTTGTTGAAGCTAAGACCATCAAAGATCTTGAGATGGCCATCTCTAGACAGCACATTGAAAAGTGGAGGACAGCTGTCAGAAAAAGGTCAGTTGCCATAATTATTTAATGTATATCCAAAATTAAGGTTATCCTGACTGATTCATAAAAGCTTTTAGATGTTCAAATGTTTCTAAGTTCAATATCTCCAGATGGACCAGCCAGTTGATGATTTCTCTTGTCCTTCAGAAAAGTTAACATCTATGTCCCCAAGCCCTCTCTGAAAACATCATATTCCCTGAAAGATATTTGGAAAGGACTGGGAATGGCTGATATGTTTACAAATGAAGCCAACTTCACAGGAATTTCAGAGGAAATGATCTTCATTTCAAAGGTAAAGTTTCTAGATCACTTTCTAAATTATGATTTAAAAATAACTGAAGATATTTCACGTACTATTTAATATAAAAACATCGATTTTTAAGAGGACTCACTTTGATTCACTTTCAGGCTTTGCATAAGGCCACTCTGAATATAGGTGAGAAAGGAACCACCGCAGCAGCAGTGACAAGAGTTTCATTCGGCCCAATGTCCTACGACCCAATGTTGTTTTTGCGTTTTGACAGTCCATTCATGATCTTTATCACTGACCAAAAAAATGACAACATCCCCTTCTCACAGTAATGTGACATTCAAGATCTCATGACAACATTAGCCAGCAGGTGGCCATGACTTAAACATTATTTTGCTGACTCTACAGTTTGCATGTGTTGATTTAGAACAGAGATACTCAGTCCTTCTAGAGCAGGGGTGGGCAAACTTGACCCTTCCAGGCCACTTTACTTCAGAGTTTAGCTCCAACCCTAATCAAACACACCTGAACCAGCTAATCATTGTCTTCAAGACTACTAGAAGGCTACAGGCAGGTGAGTTTTATCAGGGTTGGATCAAATCTCTGCAGGAACGTGGCCTGGAAGGGTCAAGTTTGCCAATCACTGTTCTAGAGGTTCACCTTCCTGCAGAGTTTAGTTCCAATGCATATCAAACACCTGAACCAGCTTATCAAGGTCATTAGAGTTACTTGATTGGAATGGCAGGAAAGTGGACCTGCAAGACTGAATACTGACAGGCAGGCATTGCTAAATCTGTTTCCTCTGATGAATGTATACTTCTCTGGCAACTTGTTATATGTAACAACCTGCCTAACTGGAAAGAAGTCTTGTAAAAAGTTAAGTAAAATTCATATACTGGCAAAAATGGCTTTTGTCTTACAATACTTTCATACACAAAAACATTCTTTCGAACAAACACATTGATATTTTAACATGGCAGTGTGCACTCAAAAACATACTGCTTAGAATCTCGTAACTCAAAAATGTACAGCCATTCCGCAACAAGTTTGAGCCCTTGCCTGTTGTCCAGAGGACAAAAATGTAGAGACTAATACAAACACAAACAAAAGCAGTCAGACCTGCATGTAAGCTCACTTGAGAATTTGAAAAACTAACACTGGATTGGCACAACTTGGCTCAAACAAACACATTCCCTTGGAATCGTCGTAATCTTCCTCGCCATTATGGCGCCCCTGAGGTCAGCCTCCTGTGCAAGATCAACAAATTATGCAAGCTTGATCAACTTTAAAGGAATTTTATAGCTCTTTGCAGATTTTATTAGCCAGTTTTAAGAGTAGCATTTACATGTGGTCTTTTGGCAGCTCAATATCATTGTATCGTTTGAGTATGCCAATTATTAAAAATAAAATAGTTTTTTTTAATCAAAGGCACTAATGTTCAAAGTAAAATTATAAAATAATTTCAGCTTAAATTATAATGTTAAATTATATAATATAATGAAAATGATAAAATAATTAAATTTCATCTCTGCGTCTGAGTTTGTGATTTGTTTGTGAAGTTTATTTTGCTACAATGACTGGTTTTGATTTCATGGTGAGTTCAAATAATTTCAGCTTAAATTATAATGTTAAATTATATAATATACTGAAATTTTTTAAATAATTTCATTTCAACTCCACTTTTGGGTTGTGATTAGGTTTATTTTGTTATAATGACTGGTTGACTAGACATGTTATCCCACCCATTGGACGGTTGCCAAATATATAAATACGTGGACATGGAATATTGATTTGAAAAATTATTTACTGTCTGCTATATTAAACTTTTGCTAAGGAAAAAAACTCCATTAGATAATGTACAAAATAATTAGTCAAAAAACAAGACAAACACTACAAAAATACATTAATATCGGCATGAAACGGAAATTGTGATCAAATTTTCATATATTTCAATATATGAGTGAAATGGCTTCTCAAATGAAAAAAAAAAAAAAATGTAGGGCAGCACTTGATTTTGTCCATTACAAACTGATTGGATTGTTCTGATTTCATGGTGCCACTTTCAGTTCTCTGGGTGATCGGTTGCATTGCCATGGATGGACATCAGCGAGTACACTGAAGAAATGGTATAGGATTTACTTTGAGACCATTTTCAATCAGAAATTGCTTGTAAATTTACATGGAATTATAAGTAATTACAAGTAACAAGTAATACATTGAATGAAAGGTAAATTTTTGAAGTACAGTAGAAAGACTGAATAGTATTTTCTTGTAAAATATACTCTAATAATCTCTGTTTTATTTACAACTTCGATTGGCCATGATTGACCAATTGTGCAGAGTCATATAACAATCAATAGCTAAATGCTTATACGATTAGACTCTGTAAGATAGCTGGCATTTTGATATAGGAACCACCAATGAGCAATTAAATTAAAGTGATGCATGGACTGTTCACGGCTCAGTTGCATTGAGTCTCGTGGCACATGAATCTAATAGCTTTATATTACTTTCATTACTCATGCTCAAACATCGGACACACATCTTTCAGGTTGTTATCAGACACACTACTTGAATGCACAATGAAATACGTTATTTGTTTTTTGTTTTTCTTTTCAAATGATTGCATTGCATGGAAATTGGAATGCCAAGCCAGACCAGCATTTGAGCAGGCGAGGGGGTAATGATGATATTCCAAGCCATGGCTATGAAGTCAGACAAATGGTAATGTGATTAGTTTGTGGTTATATTAGTCAAATGGACGTTATGAATGTGGGGAGAACAGCAACTATACATCAATGGCTCATTTTGGGCATGTTTATTCCCCACAAATAATAATGTATAGTGAATGCCTTTGCATATAGACTTGAATGCCTTTGCTTTTAGACTTGCACTCTATTCATTTACTAACTGCTTGTTTTCTTAAAAAAAAAAACGAACACTAGCTTCTCTATTCTTTTTTATTCTATTTGTTTTCTTTTTATTTATTATACAATTAACAAAAGCAAAAAAATGCCTCTAACACTAGCTTGCTCTATTCTTTTTCTATTCTATCTGTTTTCTTTTTATTTATTATATAATAAAAAAAAAAACCTTGCTACGTGTACTACGTTAAGCTAACTGAGACTTGTTATAGCACTTGCGTATCATTGCTCTTTTGTTGATTTTGATTGCTTCCATTGTCCTCATTTGTAAGTCGCTTTGGATAAAAGCGTCTGCTAACTAACTAAATGTAAATATAGCCATAACTGTATAAGCAAAACATGCTGAAAATTAGAAAATTTTATAATCTAGAGTGAACAGGTTTAGTGGCTTTGAAGCAACTGCTACAACAAGCAGCAAGCATCAATAAAGGGTACATTTGTTATATTAAAATACTAAATTCATTTGAGTTTCATTAATAACCATCCTGTCTTTTCATCACTGTCTGTTTAATGAAGAAGCAAAAGCGCAAAAAAAAACATTAATGTTTCACTATCATAGCCATAACTGTATAAGCAAAACATGCTGAAAATTAGAAAATGTTATAATCTAGAGTGAACAGGTTTAGTGGTTTTGAAGCAACTGCTACAACAAGCAGCAAGCATCAATAAAGGGTACATTTGTTATATTAAAATACTAAATTCATTTGAGTTTCATTAATAACCATCCTGTCTTTTCATCACTGTCTGTTTAATGAAGAAGCAAAAGCGCAAAAAAAAACATTAATGTTTCACTATCATGCTAGCAGTGTTTAGTCTACTTAGTGTCAAATCTTGTGTAGTCATGGGAAACCGTTCGAAAAATAAGCTTTGCTGTGGAAAAGTTGCTCAGTAACCACAGAGAGCTTTACAGGATGTGCTGTTATATAACAGATTGTTTTAGAGCGTCTTGCAGCAAAATAAGTCCACCTAGTGTTAAAATCTTTAATCAGATCCCTGTGGTCTTCTTGTCTCCAATCTCTCAACATTTGTACTGCAAACAAAGAAAAATAAAACGGGTTGAATATTACTTTACAACAGAGCTATTCATCTCTAGAAAGTGCTCTGGGATTTTTGTTAATTGTATATTTTGACTCAATTATAAACATTTTCTGTATTCTATACATATGTGACTGTCTTTGCAATACTTTCAAGAGGTCCAGTCTGTTGTTTCCTGAAGCTAAAGAGGTGGTTTTTAATCAGTGACCAGTGATGTTACCATTACAATCGATGACACTGCAGTGAGTGTAACTGATGGCTGCTGTTTTCTTTGGCTACCAAAGAAGGAAAATATTGACTTTTTGTAAATGTAATCAGTCTTTCCACTCACTAACTGCATGTTGATGACCCCTACTTTTAATATCATTTACTCATTTTACGTTTTTTTTGTTGCTTAGGTTTTTGTCATGGTATGTTAAAGGCAGTTTTAGGTCAAAAATGGGATACTAAACCATTAACAATCACATATATATAACAATCACACAATCATATATATATATATATATATATATCTCTGTGTGTGTGAGTGTGTGTAATGTTATTATTTATGGAAACAACCTATAAGACCCCTTCAATCTCATTAAATCTCATTTAATTTCAGATTGCAGTGAACAAATTAAACAATTGCTAATTGATTGGTAGATGACCACAGGGCATGTTGTCTTGTGTTTTCAATTACAGAAGCAAAGGCAAACTCATTAACGCTGAAACAAAAGACAACAATTCTGATTACAAAGCTGATCACAATTCTGAAAAAAAAACAACAACAACAACAGAAAGAACAAAGCATAAATAGTACACAAATATCTGTGCCTGCAGAGATGTGTGAACTTTTGTGTCACAACACAAAAAATTGTTAGCACAGGCAATACCTTTGTGCATAAATAGTGGTCATGACATGATCAACAAGTCTTGTCTGATTGTGAACCTCTGGGAACAAAATGACAAGGAGTTGTTTGACCCCTTGAAATCTCCACCAATGGACTTCAACCCAGTTTCAAACAAGACTTCAAGCCAGAGATCTGAATATAAATACAACTTTCATGTAATTCTCTATATACAAGTTCTTGTTTTATTTGTAATGTTAATTAAAAGCAATAGTTCATCTAAAAATGAAAATTCTCTCATTATTTACACACCCTCATGTCTTTAGAAACCCACATGATTTTCTTTCTTGCATGAAACAGCGAAGGAATTATCTAGCAGGATTTCAAGAAAGACATGAGGGCGAGTAAATAATAACAGAATGTTGAGTTTTGGTCCTTTTAAATTAACTCATAAGTACAACACTAAGGGCCAGTCAACTTAAAAATGTATCTTAAAACCCTGCCTTCTTTTCCGTTCAGTTAGACACTATTGATAAATAAATTCAA